GGGGTGGGGGGAGGACAGGATTATTCCAAGGCGTGGATTTCACATTTAATGGCCGGTTAGGATAGGAAAAGGACACAGAGATTGCGATCCAGAGCACACAGTGGTGTCTTGTGTTGCCCCCTCCCCCCCCCTCCCCCCTCCCTCCCTCTCTCCCTCTGTCTCTCTTCCCCTTTTCTCAGTAACTCGGGATTCGCTCAGGGTTCGGAGAGGAGCCGAGAAAGAGAGAGAGAGAGAGAATCTTTACCTATAAATAATGCGATTAACTTCTCTCCCAACAGCTTCTGATAAGTTCTCACAAACTGGAGAAGCCCCCGAGCCAGAGCTCAAACACAGCCCTCCCCGAGACCTTCACACACTCACCCACTCACTCACTCACTCACACAATAAAGCAGCTTTATTTTCCCTTCTCCCCCCCCCAACACCCCCCAACACCCCCCACCCCGGTTAGCAACTTGACTAACTAGTCAGTGCGCCTCGTCTCACCATCTTGTGGTTGTAGTGAAGTTGGTCAGAATAGACTGGAGTGAGTTATCTCTCTTTCTCTGTGTGTGTGTCTGTGTGTGTGTGTGTCTGTGTGTGTGTGTGTCTCTGTGTGTGTGTGTGTCTCTGTGTGTGTCTCTGTGTGTGTATGTGTGTGTGTCTCTGTGTGTGTGTCTCTCTGTGTGTGTGTGTCTCTGTGTGTGTGTCTCTGTGTGTGTATGTGTGTGTGTGTCTCTGTGTGTGTGTCTCTGTGTGTCTGTGTGTGTGTGTCTGTGTGTCTCTGTGTGTGTGTGTGTCTCTGTGTGTGTATGTGTGTGTGTCTCTGTGTGTGTGTGTCTCTGTGTGTGTGTCTCTGTGTGTGTATGTGTGTGTGTGTCTCTGTGTGTGTGTCTCTGTGTGTTTGTGTGTGTGTGTCTGTGTGTCTCTGTGTGTGTGTGTGTCTCTGTGTGTGTGTGTCTGTGTGTGTGTGTGTCTCTGTGTGTCTGTGTGTGTGTCTGTGTGTGTGTGTGTCTGTGTGTGTGTGTGTGCTGCCAGGTGTTAAGCACTCTTAGAATAAAGATGTCTTTCTGCACAGCTACCAAACACACCGAGTGAAAAGTCACCCACACTCACTGACTGCAAACCGAGTATTATTAGTGGTAATAATCCTACCCTATTGCATCCTCGACGTGTATCCATCTAACTCACTAACTAACTAACTAACTAACTAACGTCCTCCCGACACGAAAGGCGCTCTATAAATGGAATCTTGTTGTTGTTGTAACTAACTAACTAACTAACTAACAAACTAACTAACTAACTAACTAACTAACTAACTAACTAACTAACGTGCACTGGATAAAATGCACCTTTCAAACAAAAGTCCAATCTTTTTGAAAGGTTCAATGTTTTAAGAACGACCAGGACTGTCACATCTCACTTCACTGGAATACTTTCTGCTGGAGCACAGTTGCTTCCCTTCCACAATTCTCTCAAACGTCTTTTTTTTTAAAAAAAACTGATGAACTTCAACGTCTTTTAAACAGATCTGTGGCCCACACAGCCTGGGATCGTTTTGCACGTTTTTTTTTCTTTTCTTTTTGGTCCATCCCTGTGGATAGACCCAGGCTCCAAACCAAGTACAAGGTGTTCACAAAGTCCTGTTACCCCTCTCTTGTTTTCTCACAAAGAATTTTTATTTTTCCGTGTAACAATGTCCTGGTCGCTCCATCCATGTTATGGAAGATGTCGCACTCAACATGGCAATGGATCATTATCCACCATGAAAATGATGGCACTCACTCACACACTGATTCTCTGGAGTCCTGTAGCTCAGTGGTTAGAGCACTCGCTTTGCAAACGAGAGACCTGAGTTCAATTCCAGGGAGAGGGCGAAACCTTGGGCAAGTTTCCTTACTCCACACAGAGCCTAATAATAATCCCTCCAAAACCAAAAACAATAATAAATTGGTCATTTTCAATCTACGACTGTTTGTGGGACACTGTGTGCGCAATTGGCGGCCGCGTTCGCCCACAAATATGCAGTCAATTCACTTTACACTTTATATTCTGTGAAGCGCTTTTAGATGTCTAGAAGATGTGAAAAGCGCTATATCAAATGCAAGGATTATTATTATTATGTCTAAATATAGTTAAACACTTATACTGAATAGGATAAAGTACTTCTAAAGACACATATCATCAGTCTTCCACATGTTTCAGGTGTAGGTCAGTGCACTGTCGAAAAAAAAACTTGGCGGTAACAGGACTTTGTGAACACCTTGTCCTGAAAGTTGCACTTATTTATAGCATACTTTCCAAATGTGCAAATTCTCATAATAAATCTTACATTTTGACACCGTTTCACCATCATTGTAAAGCTCACGTAGTATGAGCATTTCACTTTTTACAAATGTTCAGCATTGCAAATCCAAATATGTTAATAAAATACATTTGCAATTTGGGATAATAATAATAATAATAATAAGGCTTGCATTTGCAGGCGAAACATCTTGGATGCTTGATTTTTTAAAAAAGAAACTCAGTGGAAACTAGATGTTGTGGATCGGAGTG